GTTGATATCGATAAATAAATAAAAAAATGGCAGCCGGAAAGTGATCTCGTGGGCACCCGGTATATTAATTAAGTGCTTTTTAGGTGCTAATTAGGGCCTCTAATTAAAAATTAGGTGCTCTTCTAGTTTTTGAGAAAATCAAAAAAAAAACTAAGGGATTACTAGGTTTATGAAAGCTAGTAGTCCCCTATAGTGAAAAATATTTTTCCAAAATTTTCTTTTTTTATCAGAATTAGGTGCTTTTTAGGCGCTCTTAAATAGTCGAACAAAAACTAGATTTGATTAATTATTAACTGAGTTACAGATTTTTTTTTTAATTATTAGGGGACTGCGGGCTTTACGTTTACTTGCTGGTGTGTCAGAATGGCAAAAAAACTTCGGGATCTATATATTAATTAGGTGCTTTTTAGGTGCTAATCAGGACCTCTAATTAAAAATTAGGTGCTCCTCTAGTTTTTGAGAAAATCAAAAAAAACTAAGGGACTGCTAGGTTTATGAAAGCTAGAAGTCCCCTATAGTAAAAAATATTTTTTCAAAATTTTCTTTTGTATCAGAATTAGGTGCTTTTTAGGTGCTCCTAAATAGTCGAAGAAAAAATAGAATTGATTAATTATTAACTGAGTTACAGTTTTTTTTTAATTATAAGGGGACTCCTGGCTTTACGTTTACTTGTTGGTGTGTCAGAATGGCAAAAAAACTTCGGGATCTATATAATAATTAGCTGCTTTTTAGGTGCTAATTAGGGCCTCTAATTAAAAATTAGGGGCTCCTCTAGTTTTTGAGAAAATCAAAAAAAACTAAGGGACTACTAGGTTTATGAAAGCTAGAAGTCCCCTATAGTAAAAAATATTTTTTCAAAATTTTCTTTTGTATCAGAATTAGGTGCTTTTTAGGTGCTCCTAAATAGTCGAAGAAAAAATAGAATTGATTAATTATTAACTGAGTTACAGATTTTTTTTTAATTATAAGGGGACTGCTGGCTTTACGTCTACTTGCTGGTGTATCAGAATGGCAAAAAAATTTCGGGATCTATATATTACTTAGGTGCTTTTTAGGTGCTAATTAGAGCCTCTAATTAAAAATTAGGTGCTCCTCTAGTTTTTGGGAAAATCAAAAAAAAAATAAGGGATTGTTAGGTTTATGAAAGCTAGTAGTCCCCTATAGTAAAAAATATTTTTCCCTAATTTTCTTTTTTATCAGAATTAGGTGCTTTTTAGGTGCTCCTAAATAGTCGAAGAAAAAATGGAATTGATTTATTATTGACTGAGTTACAGATTTTTTTTTAAATTATTAGGGGACTGCTGGCTTTACGTCTACTTCGGGATCTATATATTAATTAGGTGCTTTTTAGGTGCTAATTAGGACCTCTAATTAAAAGTTAGGTGCTCCTCTAGTTTTTGAGATAAATCAAAAAAAACTAAGGGATTGCTAGGTTTATGAAAGCTAATAGTCCACTATAGTGACAATCAATTCTATTTTTTCTTCGACTATTTAGGAGCACCTAAAAAGCACCTAATTCTGATACAAAAGAAAATTTTTGAAAAATATTTGTCATTATAGGGGACTACTAGCTTTCATAAACCTAGCAATCCCTTAGTTTTTTTTTATTTTCTCAAAAACTAGAGGAGCACCTAATTTTTAATTACAGGCCCTAATTAGCACCTAAAAAGCACCTAATTATTATATAGATCCCGAAGTTTTTTTCCATTCTGATACACCAACATGTAAACGCAAAGCCAGCAGTCCCCTTATAATTAAAAAAAAAATCTGTAACTCAGTTAATAATTAATCAATTCTATTTTTTCTTCGACTACTTAGGAGCACCTAAAAAGCACCTAATTCTGATACAAAAGAAAATTTTGGAAAATATTTTTTACTATAGGGAACTACTAGCTTTCACAAACTTATCAATCCCTTAGTTTTTTTTGATTTTCTCAAAACCTAGAGGCGCACCTAATTTTTAATTAGAGGCCCTAATTAGCACCTAAAAAGCACCTAATTATTATATGGATCCCGAAGTTTTTTTGCCATTCTGACACACCAACATGTAAACATAAAGCCAGCAGTCCCCTAATAATGAAAAAAAATCTGTAACTCAGTTAATAATTAATCAATTCAATTTTTTCTTGGACTATTTAGGAGCACCTGAAAAGCACCTAATTCTGATACAAAGAAAAAATTTGAAAAAATATTTTTTACTATAGGGGACTGCTAGCTTTTATAAACCTAGCAGTCCCTTAGTTTTTTTTGATTTTCTCAAAAACTAAACGAGCACCTAATTTTTAATAAGAGGCCCTAATTAGCACCTAGAAAGCACCTAATTATTATATGGTTTCCGAAGTTTTTTTCCACCTTGAGACTGCTAGGTTTATAGACCTCTAAAAATCGGTGTGATATGATATCACACATATTCAGCGTGTGATTTATATCGGACGGTAATTATTCTTGAAACAGGGAAGCAGCATTCCCGGGAGAACGAGTGTTCCGTTTTTGTTACTTATTATTAGTTGCATATCATTGAGAAAGACGGGAACACTCGTTCTCCTGGAAACGCTGCTCCCCTGTTTCAAGAATAAGGACACAGGTCAATTAATTAAGTGCGTGGATATTTTTTAGGCAGACCGTGTAGTTTATTCAAAGTCTTGGATCAAAAAATTAACAAATTAATTTATGATACTTATAGTGGGAGAATGGTAACACAATAACAACAATAATAAATACAACCTTAAAACAGTATAATATTTTCACTTCAAAAATCGTGATTACTTAATGCTTATTTGCACACCCAAGTAAGGGGCGGTTTCTCAATTTCGAGTAACTCTAGAGGGTTAACTAGCCCGGTGTTAATTAAATTTAACCTCGGGTTAACTGAGGATTTTATTTCTCAAGCATCCACTGTAGGTGGAGTGTATAATCCCTGGGTTAGGCGATAGGTGGTAACATTGTTCACCATGATGGTGATCCTAGCATATTTTTGTTTGGTCAAAAGCAGACACGCGACTAAGTGGAACGTCAAATTAGCTTATTTACAAAACTTCTTGGAGTTTGTTGTTGTTTTGTAAAGAAATCCTTGTCATCGTATTCCTCGAGAGGATCAAACCTTTGATCTGAGGCTTTTTTGCTACGAAATTGTAGAAATCTTCATTTTCATCAATTAGTTCAAATATTTCGATCCATTTTCGAAAAATAAATATTACCACAAAATTGACAAATCACGGAAGAAAAATATTTCTTCAAGTTATCTTAATCAACCTGGAGGTGACTCGTTATTGTGAAACCGGCCCTAAGAAACGTATTTGATAGGTAGGTACTTCACGATATTTTAACCGGCCAGTTTCAATTTTGCTCATGTTATAGTGAGATAACAGTACGTGGCGTGGAAACGTGTGCCTATTATGGAAGATTTCAACTTTTTGATTCGTTATATCTCATGATCGGTGGCTCTTAGGAAAAAAAAGAGTATAAGACATTTTTTATAGATAACTAGCTAATGACCCGCTGCGTTGCCAGCGTGTAAATACATTTTGAAATAATACACTTCTTTTCAAATTTTGTTCTATTTAATTATTTTTTTTAAATCCGATATCAGAGTCGCTTGCCAGTGAGTTCAGTGACGCATTTTAAGCACTCCAGAGCTGCTCTAGAGCGCCCCGGGCTGTTTATAGGCGTTCCAGTGTATCATAGTTTTACGCAACCGAACTTTTTTTTTCGGGATAAAAAATAGCCTATATCACTCTCCTCTATAGCCGATTCGATTGACCGGATTAGATCGATCTGGTTCAATTTAAATGAACCACACTGTGTTCGATTCAAGCTGGATCAGTGCAACCTCATCAACAAAAAAATGATCTATACCTTTACAACTTCAAATTGAGACTTATCACAATCAAATTGAGAACAAACATTTTCAAATTGAGATTAAACAAAATCAAATTGAAAACAATCAATTTCAAATTGGTACAACATTCAATTACATGGAAGCGGATGTTGTACCAATTTGAAATTGATTGTTCTCAATTTGATTGTTTTAAGTCTCAATTTGATTTTGTTAATTTCAATTTGATTGTGATAAGTCTCAATTTGAAGTTGTAATGGTATAGATCAGAAGAAGTTCACTTAAATTGAACCCAAATCGATCTAATCTGGGTCAATCGAATTCACCTTATATAGAGATACGTGGTATAAATTCAAGATCGGTCCAGCCGTTCTTGAATTCAAAAAATAATAAAGTTACGTCGGTTGAATGCAAGCCTAAATAAATGAATTATGTCAACGTTATTTCATGCTGTCAAAAAAAGTTGGGTTATGTTGTTATGTAATGTGAATGAGTTTTTTTACAATTAAATTAATAATTAATTCAAAATTAATTTCTTTTTCCGAGATGCGTAACCTATCCACAAACTTTCCTTGGGATGGCCATAATAACCTACCAAAGTTTCATCGTAATCGGATAAGTGGTTTTAGAGCGCATATCCGGATACCCCGTGAACTTTGATTTTTATATATATATATAGATTAATTAAGTATATGATATACAATTTTTGTCTGACCTAATTTCATGGAATGATAAAACTGACCGTTTTACTGGAAAACGCGTAAAACTCATTATTGAGACCATTGACCTTGAACTAAAAAAAATCCAGGTACGGGAGCGATAAGGACTTTTTACCATATATTTATAATGGTATTCCAAACCATACCAATTTTCAGCTCTGCGAATGTTTGTACTCTTGCATGTTTAAATTGACCGGAGAAGTATTATTTATTATGAAAATTTAGCTATGACGATAAAAAAAAAATCTCAGTGCACAAATATTGTATCTAGGTCATAAAGATCAAGGTCTAAATCAAGCTTTTGCTGATTACGTAATAGGCTCTCAAATAATTGTACCTAGTTCTGAAATTAATTTACCGATTACAGGCTTATCTTATAGATAGGTAATTGAGAAATGTATAAATCTTATCTATAATGATGTTTGCTTTGTTAATACAACCGTAATGTGAATTTTATATAGGCAAATTAAAATCGCTAATAACTTCAGAGTTTACTTACCTTTCAAAACAAACATTTCAAAATGTTTAAGAGATTCAAAGAGAACACAACTGAAATCAAGAATCTAGAAGAATTATTAAGGCCCAAATTTCCAAATTGTAAAATCCTCAAACACGATGTGACGCCTTTGACGGAGTTAGGTGAAAATTTTGGAAGTGAAATTCTAAAAATTGACATAACCATAGAGGAAAATGGTAGTGAAAAAGTCATTCCTTCAGTCGGGAAAATGATACCACCAACCGAATTTCAAATGGAAATATTCAACACGCAACAAACCTTTAAAAACGAAATTGGGTTTTATGCAGAAATCGTTCCGACTCTGCAAGAATTTCAAAGGGAAAACGGAATTGAAGTTGCCGAGTACTTTTCAAAATTTTATGCAGCTAGACTTAGTTTGGATCCAAAAAGTGAGGTCGTAGATTTGGATGCGATTTTAATTATGGAAAATTTGAAAGTTGATGGTAAGTTACTTAAAACAAATTTTGCACACACCAGCAACCGTCCCATAAATTCTTATACTTAACTACGAATCTTTTATTAGCTCACATCTTTTTTTACTTCACATTTTGCAAAGTAGCGAAAGAAACTACAAAAATACCGCATTCGGAATGTCACATAATTAAAACTTGAAGTAAGCTCTCTGACTAAAATTCTTTCCTCGGCATTTTTTGATTGATACCTCAGAGCAGAGTGCGGGCGTACCGTTATCTAACGAGTTTTTACTGACGTTACCTTTGTCGGCATTCGTATATTTTTTTATAGTTTTTTTTATACATACCTATGTGAACATTATGAAACATAGTGGAGGGCGACGATTCTTTCAAAGCTTTCGCTTATCGAGTATATATATATTATATCAGATAATCAGATGTTTCCTTCTAGGTTTTGGTAACATCGACAGACATAAAGGGTTCGACCTAGACATGACCAAAAAAGTACTCAGCACCCTAGCCAACTTCCAAGCAACGCTTGTTGCTTTACGCACCAAGAAACCTGAACTATTCAACTCCAAAGTGAAACCACATTTGACTGAATGGCAAGGGATTCCACCAGTTGCAGATATTGATCCAATTTTACGTGAAAATCCCAGAACGGCTGCTTTAATCCCCAGAGTTAAAAGACTGCTCAGCAAGAATAAATTAAAGAAATTTACTGAAACTTGGGCAACAATCACGCACAATGATTTTTGGGTAAACAATATTATGATAAAAGAGTCCAATGGGAAATTTGAAGGCCTCAAATTGATAGACTTCCAAGTAATCGATTACGGATCACCTTTAATAGACGTTTTGTTTTTTCTATTCGACAGTGTACAAGTTTCAGTACTTCAATATCATTTCGATAAACTTTTGAAATATTTCTACAACGAATTTATTGAGGTTCTTCAGGGGTTTAAAATAGACACGTCTGAATTTACTGAAGAAAGCTTCCAAATAGAAGTTAACCAGCAAGCACCTAGGGAAGTTCATCATTCCTTGGGAATGCTGCAAATAATTTTAGCACCTAAAGGACCTCCAAAAATTCCTGGAAAAATAAATATGCCATCAGATCAAAATCCTTCAGATTCAAATGGTAATGTAACATCACCAATACCTTTTACTGTTCCAGTAGCAATGAAAGACAAAATCTGGTTTATGGTTGAGGAAGCTGCTAAAAGAAACTGGATTTAAATTTATAAATTCCCTTATACATTGTTGTCATTTTAAGTCCTAATAAAACAAGCTAATAATTTAAAATTTAACTATGTACCTACTCAAGCCAATCAGATTAGTTTCAATTAAAGCGAGGGCCAATAAGATATCAACCGATCTTAAGAAAATATTTCGTTTACGACCACTTATTTCGACCAGGTAGTTATGCATGCAACGTGTGGGATGCAACTTGACGAGTGTCGGGTTTTTCTTGGTAAAGTAAATGACTAATTAACCGTTAATACAATTTTTAATGTTCCAAGCGGATCATTAGTGGACCGACCACGAGGAATTCGTAGAGATGAGCGGATTGATTGATAATCGATCAGAAACTATTTTCTTAGAGTGTTGTTTGTGGTTCTTCTGTTTATCGATACTAAGGTCTCTTCATTGTAGAAGTAAAAGATCATTTATTACATAGAAGAAGAACCGCATGATTGACGTTTCCAATCATAAAGCAATGGGGACATCTTTAATTAACGAACTTAATAATGTCATTTGGGTTTATTGGACTTTTAAGTGAGTGTGAACAGATGAAGTTCTTAATGAGTCATCAATAGGTCACTTCATGATGCTTGACCGTGGAATTTATTCAACAATCAACCAGGATTGTTTTGAAAGGCCTTTCACTTTATAATCATTATGAGATTATGCCTTTGTTTAGGGAAAGCCATGTTGACTAAACAGCGACTCTATGGGCGTCCCAGGAAATATTTCACCTTTAGGAAAAAATATTTTGAACAAGATAGTTCCAAGATATTAGAAGCAAAAATAGATACAATTTTTTTTGTTTCAAACATCTCTCTTGTTATCACTTTTCCCACTCTCTCTTTTCGTCTAGCACTTCTCATTTTTGTCAGCATCAAACGATTGCAGTAGAAATGGTACGAGTATTTCGGAGGAAAAGCACAATCTCGGTCTTCGAAGTTTGCTGGATTCGGCTGCGCTTCGCCTAGCACGGTCGGTCCAGAGGAGAGTATGTGTTACTTCTCCACCTAAGTACACAATATAATGTATTATTTCCTATGAGCGCTGGTTTCCCGCAGTAGGTAAGATTTATGATGTAAGATTTATGATTTACATTACATTTACAATTGCTAACTTGAAATTTCGAAAACAAGTCTAAAACCTTTTAGTGCATGATTCATGGATTTCCAATCAAATAAATACATACCTTCCTAATTATTTTATACATTTTTTTTATAAATCGATTAATTTTTTATTAGGGACATTACTTTACTGGCTAACTATACATATAGAGTAAAAAGTGTAATAAACGATCGTCGATAAGGGAGAAACACGATTAAACAATTACTTAATGTACTGTTTGTATGATAAGGATTTTGGGCTGTTAATAGTATACTTCGATAATGATGAGCACCTGGTTTTGCTAGAAATACATAACTTTGTTCTATTATAGAAGCACTTGAGCCATGACCTTTCACCAAAATATAGGATTATCTTTTCCGAAGAAAATTCAGCTTCAAATATCTTTGAAAGGAGGTACATATTATCACGGCTCTGCGTGACAGAAATCTTGGATGCGTTTATTCAATAATCAAAGTCCAATTAACACAACAATAATTTATTCCACGTTACTATAATACACACTAATTACTTCACTAATTATTAAATCAACTTAACCCTTAGCAACTCTTACAATATTCACTGATGTCCAAACCGTATGTAACAGCCAAACTTAAACTCAAAAATTACTAACTAATACCGGCCCTTATATTTTTGTAATCCATTTTTGCAAAATTCATAATAAACGCGAGAGTCTCTTTTCCTGAATAAGCCAGTAATTCCTAGATTTCAGGTTTTATTCTGTGCGCCCTGGCGAAGGCGCCACCGTGACACTGCCCTTCTCTTAAGCTTGATCGTCCCGATCAACTTCACGTTCATGATATTTCGTCAATCTGTCTAGATGTACAACTTTCATCTTACTCCTGGTGTTGCGCTGAACTCGATGAACCAAATCATTGATCCTCTTGATTATTCTAGAGAGTAATCCATGATAACCATGATATATTTGTTACCACGCTCTGACTCGGAGAACGGTCTGGCAGACGGCAAAAACTTCTTTCAGGTTATAAGATGTTCTTAGAACGAATTTCCCATGATCATGCCATCATCTAAATATACCACGCAAGTTCTAAGTTCTCCATGTATGGCCTCGCAAAACTAGATGCATCAGTCGCTCAAACGTAGCTGGAGCATTACACAATCCGAAAGGCATAACGTTGAACTGGTATAATCCGCTTCGGGTACTGAAGGCAGTTTTCTGTTTGTTATCTTTGCGTATTGCCACTTGCCAGTATCCATTCTCAAGATCCAAGGTGGAAAACCATTTGGTTTCCGTTAGAGTTGTTAATGTATCGTCTATCCTCGGAAGAGGGAAACTGTTCTTCCTGGTGACGTCATTAAGCTTACGGTAGTCCACACAAAATCTAAGACTTCCATCTTTCTTTGTAATCAATACCACTGGCGCAAACCATGGACTCTTTGACTCTTCAATAATTGAAGCATTTGATCAATTTGGTTTTCCCCTTCCTGTTGGTTAGCTACTGGCATACGTCGTGGTGGTTGTCTAATTGGATGTGCCAATCCAGTATCAATTTTGTGTTGAATTAAACTGGTCCGTCGGTTTTGATCATCCATCAGAAATACGTCTGCTTTTTCAAGATGAAATCTGTGGCTTCTTGAACTCTGCCTAGATCGAGGTGCTTCAATGATTTCGCCACAGTCTGCATCAAGATATCTGTATCCAATTTCGGTTCTTAAAAATGTCGCTTATCTGATAGGCCACAGATCGATATTTGCCTAACTGGTTCGAAACTTCCTTTATTTTTACTGTTTCAGAAAACACATTGGCAATTCTTATCATAATTTCTCCATTAGTTTTTACTAGAGTCTTTCCAACAAGAAATTTCTCTGGTTTATCTCCAATAAAATGATGTGTAAGTCCAACGCAGTACTCAGGGTTTGATTCCATTTTTCCGCAAATCATCTTTTCAGTACTTTCAAGAATCCTCACTGGGTTTGTGGCCAACTTTCACAATATTCACTATCTAAATCATAGGAGGTATAACAGCCAATCCTAAATTTAAAAACTACTAATACCGGCCTTTATATATCCATAATCCATTCTTGTAAAATCCAGAATGAACCCGATTATTCCACTCATGTGTTAGAAATCCCATAAGACAAGTGACGATTTTCAGAATTACAGCGAAAATTCTCTTTTCCATTTGTTTAACTAGAGAGAATTACAGCGAAAATTCTCCCATGTTATTGTACACATGGTTGTCATGCTAATTTTTGATACAAACAAACGGTTCCTGATAGCAACCATTTATTTGTATTGATTGTTAAGATGTTCAAATCGTTTAATACATATTTATTTCCATATTTTTTGCATTCTCATACGTGAAATAATCCTCTAAATACCACTTGAGCTTTAAAATGAACCAGATAATTTTTCACTCTTGCGTGTTTTCTCTGCAAATTTCACTCGTCCTACGGACTCGTGAAATTATAGAAAACACGCAATCGTGAAAAATTATCGGTAATTTTGAAGCTCTCGTGGTATTATCCCCGATAATCTCTTTTCCTGGATAAGGCAGTATTTTCTAGATTTCATGTTTTATTCTGTAAGCCCTGGCGAAAGCGCCACCGCGACAGTATTATAAAAACTAATAATAAACTAGAAAATTATAGAAGGTATAAAGCGAACGGCTGACAGTTAGTTGGAGTAGAAAATTATCCCTATTATAGCTTTTTGAATTCCAAAGTTTATTTGTTTTTTTTTTTCGAATAAAATTTATTCATTTTTCTTTGGGATATTTTTAAACTACATCAAATCATGAATCAGCTGTTGTAGGCGCCTTAGAACTAACCCATGAAAACAGATATTTTAGAATAGGTATCTCTAGGTGCAAAACGTATCATTTTATCCTGTGCCTACTCCTGTGCCCTTCTTTATCCCATCTAAACATGCCATTATGACTAGCATCACAACCCACAGCACTGAAGAAACCTACTTAATCATCTTCCTTCTGAATCTGAAGCTGACACGAGTTTCCAAGAGAAATGATGAGGATTAATATCGTCAAAACGTAAGTTCTTCATGTTTTTTGTCCAGTCTTGTAAAATGACTTCATTATAGTGTCTCCAGAATGTTTCCATATTTCTGCTGTACATTTTGTTGAGGCCTCACTCCATACTCTTGCGATTCTATCCTTAGATGTTCGTTGCGAGTTTATGGATTTGCCTATATCCCCTTATCCGATTTCAATGGGATTATATTGACAATAGTTTGGAGGTGATCAAGTCAATTATGTATTACTTTGTTTTGTTTCTGTAGGTTTTTAGTATGTTCCATAGTTGCTTCTTGGTCATATCTCTATAAAAATCTGTAGGTATTGTTTTTAATCAACAACTTGGCTCTTTTTTGAGGAGAGTGTGGGAGGTTCCTCTACTTGCTCTGAATTATGGAGCATTGCCCATAATTATCACAGGTTTCTCCTTATTATTAACCAATACAGGAATATGTTAATTGACAAACCAGTTTTGAAATACTTATTTACATTACAAGTGCGTTTATGAGCATGATTACAATAATGAGTGTGAAGGATTAGGACGACGAGGTCGTAGACCGAGTCGTTCTATAGACCGAGTCGTTCTAATCACACGAGTTTTGTAGTTATGTTTAAACGCACGTTCTCTTTGAATGTCCTTTATATCGTAGTGTTAGGCCGGCAGATTGGGGTGATATACCGAATTTTGCTCATAATTTGGACAATCTAAACCCTCAACTGGTGAGGGTTATTTTCCAAACCGTTACTAGTATTCTTAAACTTAGATCGTTCTTAAGAAATGAATAGACCTATTCTTTAGATTTTAATTTTATCTTCCTATTCTCCTCGTACCTGAATTATTATAGAGTATTATTTTTTGTTCTTTTTCAATTTCAAATTTGGGTTTACATATTTAAACGTGTAGCTTATAAGTATGAGAAATGTAGCATTACTTAGATTAAGT